ACGGCTGGTGTGAGTTCGGGAATAAAGAGTTGCTGTTTGAATCTACAAGCTGTGTGGTGGCTCGTGATTTTGTGCCCAGCCAGACTGCGGCATTTGTGCCCAGCCAGACTGCGGCAATTATTATTTTTTTTTATTTTTATGTGGTGCTGAGAATCGAACCCAGGTCCTCAGGCATGCCAGGTGAGTATGCTACCACTTGAGCCACATCCCCAGCCCCTTGTTAACCAGTTTTATTGCCTTTTTGCAAGTTATGTCCTTTGCCTAATATATGCATGTATTAGGATGTTAGTAATTTTTTCCCAGTGTGTATGAGTTCCTTATATAATAAATGCATCATTCTTTGTCAGAAAAAGAGAAAAGGAGAGAGAGAGAGGGAGGGAGGGAGGGAGGGAGGGAGGGAGGAAGGCAAAAGGAAGGAGGGAAGGGAGAGAGAGAGAGGCAGATGGCTCTGGGAGAGGGAAGCGTGGAAATCCTACTTGCCTAGTGACAGGGCTCCAAGGAAGGAACGGGATTTCAAAGGGGACTTCTGGGCTTTGTATCTGGAGAGGGGAGTGGACCCCAGGAACTAGAGACTCTCTGCCCCCAAACTCAGAAGGAAAGTCTGCCACTCATATGGGGCCAGAGGCAGGAGCTGGTGGGTTTCAGGGCCCCATTCTATGGGCTGGCCTGGGATGGCAGTCAGCAGTCCCAAATGCCACAGGAGAGAGGCCAGCCTGTTTCTGGCACCAGATTCTGCGTCTGCATTCTGAGTGGTTTGTGGGATCCCAGGGAGCCTGAGTGATAGCAGAGATTGGATTTCCTTCTAGTCTGACACTATCAGGCCAATTTAATTAGATTTTTAAAAAATGAGAGTAGACATTTTTGTGTGCATATGAGCTTAAGTTCTTAGAGATATACCTTCTACATTTTCTTATTAAAAAATCCATCAACCTAAAAAAAAAAGCTACAGAGATAATTTATGCTCTCTTCTTAATTTCATTCCCTTGGTTCTATACATCATAGTATGAATTTACAGCATCATTGAACAACATAGTGCAAGAAGTGGCTTTATTATACTATATGTTAAAAATAATGCAAAATCTTGCTGGGCGTGGTGATGCACACCTGTAATTCCAGAGGCTTGAGAGGCTGAGGCAGGAAGATTGCGAGTTCAAAGCCAGCCTCAGCAACAGTGAGGCACTGAGCAACTCAGTGAGACCCTGACTCTAAGTAAAATACACAATAGGGCTGGGGATGTGGCTCAGTGGAAAAGTGCCACTGGGTTCAATCCCTGGTACCTTCCCGCATTCCAAAAACAAACAAATAAAAAAAAAAACCCAAAAACAAACAAACAACAACAACAAAACAAAAACAAAAAGTAAAATCTCACTCACTTCCTTTCCTTCAGGAGAAAATTCTGTCTTAACAACCCCCCTTTCCCTATACCCTGTTTCTTGTTGGAATCACATAGAACCCCCAAGTTCACCCAACCTTGGAACCTTGGGGAATGGTCTGGATTTCAGGCAGGTGGGGTCATTGTGAGGAGCTCAATGTTCAAATTTCAGTGATCTCAATTCTTCTGGACCTGAAGTTGAGGCTCAGAGCTCAGCCCCCAGCCAAGTGTCCTCCTCTCACCCTAGGGTCTGTAACAGGGAGTCAAACTGGGGATTGAGCCCAGGGGCATTTTACTACTGAGCCACATTCCCAACCCTTTTTATTTTTTTATGTCAAGATAGGGTCTCACTAAATTGCTGAGGCTGACTTTGAACTCAAGATCCTCCTGCCTCAGCCTCCCAAGGCGCTGGGATTACAGGCATGCAACCCTGCACTTGCTGTAAGGGGCTGGGAACCATTCCCTTCTCCCTCAATTTTTAAAATCAGAACTTCCTACTCACTCACATGTCAAGATCTCTGCTTTCATGAACCAAGATTTTCTCAAGTGGGGAAAGAAGGGGTAATCCTCTTAAACCTGCAAAGAAAAGGCCTGTCATGCTTTGGTGGTGAATCAGTTGGACACGCAGGGAAACCGGCCCCAAAGCGGAATGAGGCAATTCTGACAATAAATCACACTGCTGTAAACAAAGTCCTCCTGATTTGACTGCGACTCAGCTTCCAGGGGCATTTCTCAGCGTTGTTTCCCGTGGGTGTGATACTTTCACTTCCTCAATATCTTTTCTTCCCTTCTCCACCTGCTCATCCCTCAAGGTCATTCAGAAAGGCGTCAGGGCTCTAGGCTGGCTACCTGTAGTTGTCTTGGCCTTTCTTTCGTGGTGTAAGTGGGCATCCCCCCCCCAGGAGGGTTCCAGGAAGCTTGTCTCTTTCACAGCAGGTAAAACATTTCCTGGAAACCCCCAGCAGCCTTCCCCTCATAGTGTTGAACTGGGTCACATGGCCACTCAGCCACAGGGGAGGCTGGAAAAGCAAATTCCTGGCAAAGCTGAATGGGATTGCCAAAAACAGATTTAGACAAATGATTTAGGCCCAGGCTGGGAACAGAGTGGCCTCCCCTGCCAAAAAAAAAAAAAAAAAAAAAAAATGAGCCCTCTTCACATGAAAGAAGAAAATGACTAACAAAGTCCACCCTAGAGATCTTGTTCCATTTATTATCTCTTCTTGAACAGGGCAGAGGCTACTTGTCCCTCATTCCACAGAAATAGTGTTTAGATAAACGCTTGATTGGCCTTAAAGTTGACATTTCCCAGCCTTCTTTGCAGCCCAGTGCAGCCATATGACCAGTTTCTGAGAATGGATTGAAAGAGGAAGAAACAAAGCTGACCATCTAGTATTAAGGATAAAGGTCATGTCCTCTCTTGTCCTCATTCCAGTGGTTGAAATGTGGATGTGTGGAGGCAGGGCATCTGGACCAACTTGACCATTTCAGACCTTCATGTCCTTATGTGACGGAGTAACAGAGAAGGAGCTGAGGCCCCTGAAGGTTTTGCGGCACAGGACAGCCACCCCAGCTCAGGCTTTCCCAGGAGGGGGACCAACTGTAATCTCCTGTCATGTTTCCAGCACTATTATTTTGCAGCAACACTTGTATCTGAACAGATCCAATTGCCTCCAATCCCATCTCTCCCCAGTCTCTCCCCGCTCAGTCTCTCCCTGGGCCCTGGGTTCTCTCTCATTCACCTTCAGTCTTTCTCTGTATTAGTCAGGGCAACAGATTCAACTCTTGGCTGATTTAAGTAGAAAAAGCAGTTTATAAACCAGTGGAGAAGGTTGTAGAGTCATCAGAATCAACCTCTATTGCCACAATAATGTCACATAAACAATCATCAACCTCAGCCGCATGTAACAGATGATCATGTCTTTTGTTCACAAGTCTGTGGAGTTCGGCTTCTTCGGGGCTGGGCTGATCTGGGCTGATCTCAGCTAGACTTATTTGAGTGTCTGGGATCAACTGCTGGTGGACCAGGCAGCTATTGATTTTGGCTGAGCTCTTTCTTATGTCCCAGGCTGACTGGCTGTTGGCTGATCTAGGATGGCCTCTTCTGGGCTAACTCAGGGAGACTTGGCCTAGCTCCCTGTTTCTCTCATCATCCGGTAGGCGAGCCTAGACACGTTCTCACGGCAATGGCAGAGGGCAGCAGCGAGAGCAAGCCCAATTACACAAGTGCTTTTCAAGCCTCTGCTTGTACAATGTTTACTAGAATCCCATTGACCAGAGCAATCACTAGGGTGAGCCAGAAAGGGAAGGTCCAACGAGTTGAGGCCCTGCAGGGGAGAGCTGAGGCCGTTCCGCAACCAGTCTAGGGTGGGAGCCAACATCACACCGCCAAGCCAAGCCACTGAAGATGCTGCCACTGCCCCAACGGGCATTTGACTCCACAGTCACACCGAGAGTCCTTTTGGCACCAGACCCCGGGTGTTGTGCTGCCCTAACTGTTCTCCCAAACTGAATGCTGCTGTCACTCCTGGCACTGCCCATCCACAGGCAGACTCTTTCTGCTTCTGCTTCTTTGCATCACAAGCTCCTGCTGATTCCAAATGTACAATGGGCATTTCTTTCTTTCTTTCTTTCTTTCTTTTTTTTTTTGGTACCAGGGATTGAACCTAGAGGCACTCAACCACTGAGCCACTTCCCCAGACCTTTTTTATACTTTATTTAGAGACAAGTTCTGGCTAAGTTGCTAAATTGCTAAGGCTGGCTTTGAACTTGCAGTCCTCCTGCCTCAGCCTCCCAAGCCTCTGGGATTACAGATGTGAGCCCTGTGCTCAGCTGGGCACATTATATTAATAGAGTCCGTGACTTAGCTTTCACAGGAAGGGTGGGAAAGTGAGTAGCTGGTATTTTTGGCAGCAATACCAAGAAGTGAGTTCTGCTTCCCACATCGTCATAAGACAGGAACCTCTCCATATAGAGGAAAGGGGGTTACCCCACTGGAGCTCAAAAACCAAATCAGAACAACAATCATGGTGATGATGGTGATGGGGAGGAGGAGAAGGAGGAGGAGTGGGAGGAGAGGGAGGAGAGGGAGATCCTCCAGTCACTCATTCTCTTCACAGTCGAGCTCTTTTTTTTTTTTTTTTTTTTTTTTTGCAGTACTTGCGATTGAACCCAGGGGTGCTCTACCACTGAGCTGTAGCATCTCCCCAGTCCTTTTTATTTTTATTTATTTATGTATTTTTGGTACCAGGGATTGAACCCAGGGTGCTTAACCACTGAGCCACATCCCCAGCCTTTTTTTATATTTTATTTTGAGACAGGGTCTCACTGAGTTGCTGAGGCTGGCTTTGAACCTGCGATCCTCTTGCCTTAGCCTTCCAAGCCACTGGGATTGCAGGTGTGCACCACTACACCTGGCTGAGAAGCTTGGTCTTTGTAAAGCAGTGGGACAGGTGATATAAGCAGAGGCGCATGCCATATAGTGATGTGTAAAGGAACTCTGAGAAACACATGCCTCAGCATTCCCCCACCTATCTTAGTGCATTTTCTGTTGCTAGAGCAAAATATCTGAAGTTGGGTACTTTATACAGAAAAGAGGTTTCTTTTTCTTTTCTTTCTTTCTTTCTTTTTTTTAAATATGAAACGCTTCAGGAATTTGCATGTCAGCCTTGCGCAGGGGCCATGCTAATCTCTGTATCATTCCAATTTTAGTATATGTGATGCCGAAGAGAGCACCAGAAAAGATATTTCTTAAGCTCACAGGTCTGGGGTTTCAAGAGCATGGCACCAGCATCTGCTCAGCTCTGATGAGGGTTCAAGATAGATAGCATCACGGTGGCGGGAGCGCCTGCGGGAGTGGTGAGCAGAGCGCCAAGAAGGAGGTTGCCGGGGAGGTGCCGCGCTCCATTCTATCATCCTGTTCTCCTGGGAACCAGCCCAGGCTCATGACAACTGCATTAATTCCCTCCAAGGGCCGTGCCCCTGTGACCTAATGACTTCTGCTAAGCTCCACCTCTCAATGGTCCACCACCCCAACACCCCACACTGGGGACCACGCTTCCAGGACATGAGCCTTTGGGGACACACTGAAACCCTGTCCTAACCATAGCACCACCCGGGTGTTTACACACCAGCTTCTGAGGGTCATTGTCTGCGGGCAACTCCAGGGAAGAATGAGCTCCTAGGCATTTCCAGGGTGCCCTGAGCACGGGTAGGATAGTTTTCTTGGGAGCTGGGTGCGAGCCTTTGGGAAAAAACAATGTCCTGAGCACACGGAGAGGCTGAGGATGTGGACGAGGCCCCGACAGCACCGCCTACCTGGCTTCTCAGGTGGAACGTCTCGTGAATCTTTAGAGTTCCGGGTGCGTTTCATCCTCTGCCCAGATGCTTTTCTCTCCCTCTCTCCCTGGTAAACTCCTAATCACCCTTCAATACCTTTTGCAGCTTGCGGAGAGGAAGCTGTTTCCCAAGGATAGAGCACACACCCATTTGCATTACTTGTCACACTGCTTTACCTTCCAGCAGGACATCCCTACTGGATTGTGCCCTTGTAGAAGGTGAAGACGGTTTGCTCACAGCCTACCATATAGTTTGGTGCCTGGGATACAGAAGATGCTCAATAAAATCTAGGGGGATGGGAGAATTAACAACTTCTTGCTACAGAGTATGGCACTTATCTGAGGCAGCACTGCATTAATCTGAGGCAACATTATACCAGCTTTGGTGTCCTTCTCACCTCTATGGCATTCCTCTTCCTTCATTCACCCAACGCCCTCCTCTTTCTCCCTACTGTAATATCTCAATCTGCTGCTAGATACTTCTCTTATCTCAAAGGAGCACAAGAAATAGGAAACCTGGTGTGATGTTCATCTTTGCCACTGACCAGCTTGGGGGACTCAGTCTCCTCATCTGTAAAATGAACTTGAATGTCTGTGTTCATTATCTATCTATCATCCATCTATCTATCTGTCTATCTATCTATCATCTATCTATCTATCTTGCTTTTTGTTGAACTAGGAATCAAACCCAGGGGTACTTTTAACACTGAGCTATACCAACAACTCTTGTTCATTTTTTATTTTGAGGCAGGGTCTCCCTAAGTTGCCCAGCCTCGCCTCAAACTTGTTAACCTCCTGCCTCAGCCTTCAGAGTAACTGGGATTACAGGCCTCCACCACCACACCCAGCCTCTCTGTCAATTATTAAGGAGCTCTGAAGGAACATTTCTAGAAGGACGACACACAGAGAACTGGCAGCAGTGTTTGCCTCTGGGAAGGAGAAATTGGTGGCTATGGGCCAAGAATATGCGGCAGACAGACTTTCCCTTAATGTCCTGCATTGTTTCCAACTACCGAAAATGCAGTGGCATAAAAAACAAACAAACAAACAAACAAACAAAACAGAAATGTATTCTCTCGCAGTTCTGGAGACCATAGGTCCAAAATCTAGGTGTCAGTAGGCCACACTCTCTCCAAATGTTCAGGCGGGAAAGCTTCCTTGCTTATGCCTGGCTCTAGGAATACCCTGGCTTGTGACCACAGGACTCTAGTTCCTGCCACCAGGGCCACATTGCTCCATGCTTTCAGTCTGAATCTTCTTTTCTATAAGGACACTCACTGTCTTTGGATTTAGGGCACAAGTAACCCAGGATGATCTCGCCTCAAAAATCTCAATCATATTGGAAGACCTTTTTGCAAATAAAGTAACATTCACAGGGTCTGGCGATTTGGATGTAGACATAGCTTTTGGGGCCACTGTTTAACCCACTGTGTACCTATTTGTATTTTTTTTTAACTTTTTAAAATTGATTCTTTTTAAATATACGTGACAGTAGAATGTATTTTGACATATCATATGTACATGGAGTGTAACTTCCCATTCTTGTGGTTGTACACGATGTGGAGTTACACTGGTCGAGTATTCATAATATGAACATAGGAAAATTACGTCCCATTTATTCTACTGTTTTTCCCATTCCCATCCTCCCACCCATCCCCCTACTCCACTCTGTCCAATTCGGTGAACCCCCAATCCTCTCCCACCCCCCTACCCCACCTATTTTTTTATTTTTAATTTGTTCTGATTAGTTAAACATGACAGTAGAATGCATTCTGACACATTGTACACAGATGGAGCACAACGTCTCCTTCCTCTGGCTGTAGATGGTGCGTTCACACTGACAGTGTGATCATTCATGTATGTAGGGTAATAATGTCTGCCTCAGTCTTTCATCCTTCCCATCTCCACGACCCCACCCCTCCCCTCACACCCCCATTTGTATGTCTTGAATTTGTGCCATACAAATGATGAAAGAAAGATTCACGTGCGACTAAATAGAGATTAAGATTTCAACTTTTCTACTTCTGTTCAACCCAATTTTGTTCTTTTCCAAGGATCTGACTTTGATTCACCTTTTCTCTGCTTATTTTAATTTACCATTGGAGCCATGTTATAGGACACGAAAATGGAACTCTCGTACCATGTGGGTGGACTTGGAAAGGAAAACAGACAATTCAAAAAGCACCTGGGCAGTAAATTGCAGAATTAAACATACGCCTATATAGTAAACCAGCAGTTCCACTCCTTTCATATCCTAGAGAAATCCTTCCACTTGTTCTGTTCTCTAGGAAGAATGGATAAGAATGTTCATAGACATAGAGTTCATTGTGGCATCAAGTGTGAAACCACCAAATGTCTGTCGATAGTAGTACAGATACAATGTAACATTTTAAAAGAGTATTACACAGCAGTGAAAAATGAGTTACCCTAGCTATGGTATGGGTAAAACTCAAAACCATGCTATTATCTAAAAGAAGGAAGCAACATAATAGCTACAGTGCAATATTATTAAAATAAGCAATATATTATATAAGGGTGCAAACATGGGAATGTGGAAAGCATAAAGAAAAAATAAAGGAATAATTAATATAAAATTTGACACAGTGTTTATATCTGATAGTGGAAATAAAGGAGCCATAGGAAGGGATTCCCACCAGGATATCCTAGTAGTATGGGGAATGGGTACACAAATGTAAAAGTTATAACTGGGCACAGTGGCAAACACCATAATTCCAGTGGCTTGGGAGGCTAAGGAAGGAGGATTGCAAGTCTGAGGCCAGCCTCAGCAATTTAGCAAGGCCCTAAGCAACTTAGTGAGACCCTGTCTCAAAATAAAAAAATGAAAAATAAAAAGGACCAAGAATGTAACTCCACAATAAAGCACCCCTGGATTCAATCCCCAATACCAAAACAAAACAAAAGTTATTTGTCAAACTGCATACTAGTTTTATATACTCGTGTGTGTGTGTATGATGTATTTAACAGCCCATGAGAAAATTCCACTATAGGTGAGGATATGGATCAATAGAAATTTACACTCACTGCTGTGAGGATGAATATAAATTGAAAAAAACATTTTAGAGAATATTTTGCAATATCTAGTAAAGTGGAATCTGTGCACATTTTATTAGGCATTCCTAGGTGTATTCAATCTGTGCTTTTCAAATGTTCTCAGCACAGCCTTTTATTAACAATGCAGGGCTGGGCACAATGGTGCACTCCTGTAATACCAATGGCTTAGGAGACTGAGATAGGAGGATCACAAGTTCAAAGCCAGCCTCAGTAACTTACTGAGGCCTAAGCAACTAAGTGACACCCTGTCTCTAATAAAGAATATTTTAAAAAGGGCTGGGGATGTGGCTCAGTGGTTAAGCATCTCTGGGTTCAATTCCTGGTACCAAAAAAAAAAAAAAAGTGCATTTACATGACCTCCAAGCACATTATCGGATGAGATTGGGAGCGTTCAGGGTGATATGACCATAGACGCTGAGCACATTACCTATCTATCTATCTATCTACCTACCTACCTATCTACCTTAAGCACATACACACATACAGGTGTGAAAAAGCTGAAACAAAAACTTTGCAAAAACAACTCTTTCCCATAATAGATACAGCATACTCTGATTTTTCTATTCCTGTCTGTTTTATTTCATTAAAGGCCTCAATTTTTAAGTTTATTTCAAGTCATTAATAGTTGATGCTACAGTTTGAATGTTTATGTCCCCTCAAAATTCATGTGTTGACAATCTGGAAAGCAGTATGGAGATTCCTAGGAAAACTTGGAATGGAACTACCATTTGACCCAGCTATCCCACTCCTCAGTATATACCCAAAGGACTTTAAAACAGCATACTATAGGAATACAGCCTCATCAATGTTTATAACAGCACAATTCACAATAGCTAAATTGTGGAACCAAACTAGATGCCTTTCAATAGATGAATGGATAAAGAAACTTTCATATATATACACAATGGAATATTACTCAGCATTAAAAGAGAATATGGGCTGGGGTTGTGGCTCAGTGGTAGAGCACTCACCTAGCACGGTGAGGCACTGGGTTCGATCCTCAGCAACACATAAAAACGAAATAAAGAGGGCTGGGGATGTGGCTCAAGCGGTAGCATGCTCCGCTGGCACGCGTGCGGCCCGGGTTTGATCCGCAACAGCACATACAAAGATGTTGTGTCGGCCGAAAACTAAAAAAATAAATATTAAAAAAAATTCTCTCTCTCTCTCTTTTAAAAAAATGAAATAAAGATATTGTGTGTCCATCTACAATTAAAAAAATATTTTAAAAAAGAAATAAAATTATGGTCTTTGCAGGGAAATGGATGGAGTTGGAAAATATTATGCTTATTGAAGTAAGCCAATCCCAAAAAACCAAATGCTGAA